CTCCAGTCTCTGAGCTGTCAGCACAGAGCCCGACGCGGGGCTCAAACTCAGACCGCGAGATCATGACCTGAGCCATAGTCGGCCGCCCAACCGACTGAGCCACCCAGGCGCCCCTAAAAAAATTTTAGGGGTAATTTGGGTAATTTGGGGGTGGGGAATGAGTAGGGTTCTGGGGTTTCTAGAAAAGAGGTTAAGTTTGTGTTACCAGTCTACTGTTATTCAAATGATTTGTATATGTAACAGATAGGTGCTGACCTTGTCAGCAAGTGAGTGCTGTACTTCCCGATGGTGGATCGGTCTTGCTTAAATGACATCACTGCATTTGTTCCTGTGTGCTGGGTCTTGAGCAGGGTAACTCCTCATAAATCAGTCCTTCAGTGGCTCTAGAGTCAAGGAATTGCAGGGGAGGCTGCTAATTGTGCCCTAACAATCCTCAATAATACCACTCTGAATTTTGGCTGGGTAGGGTGCCAGCCAGAAGAAAGACTACATTTCCTAACCTCACTTGCAGCTAGGTGTACCCATATAATTAAGTTCCGGCCAACCGTTTTTAAGTCAGAGTAGTCTATGCAACTTTTATGAATTATCCTCAAGGGCAAAAGGCATTTTCCCCCACCATTTTCCTCTTTCTTTCCAGCCGAAATGTGGATGCGATGGCTGTAGCTGGAGCAGCCATCTTGGACCGTGAGGTGGAAGGTATACGTTGACGCTAGTGGAGCAACCAGATTGGAAGGGCACAGATCACGATAACCATGCAGCCACACCATGAGTTCTGGACTCCTGTGTTTACCTGGAAGCGAAACAAACTTCCATCTTTCCCCAGCCAACTTTCCTTTGGTTTTTGGATTCAGAATTTGATCCTTAAAAGTGGGATGCTGCAAATAACATCCAAAGTGTGGCACTGGCTTAGTGGAATTGGCAGGCCAGCAGAGGGCAAGGACAGATAATTGCCTTTTAGATAGTGACTAACGTGTCACTTTGATGAGTGTCGTCTGCAGTACTTTGGAGGAGGGACCACGTGCTGAACAAGGCCACAATGGAGAAAATGGCGGGAGGGGACCAAAAGGGTGACTGTTGCTCCTTGTTGCTTTTCACAAAGGCCCATAGAAGTGAGATGCACTGGGGCTGGAGCCAGGGCACCGTAGCAGAGATGGAAGGGAGCCTTGCTTTGCTAAGGAAGGCAGTCTGTAGCCTGAGCTCAAAATTGATTAAGGTCTTGGAGTAGAGAAAATGCTAACTGCTTCTGTTCTTCAAACTGCAGCTATTCAAAGCAGTGGCCTTAGGCGATAAGGCTGGGGGCAGCAAGCCATCTTCAAGACTTCTTTGCCAGAAAATGTGCACGAGGCAGCTCCAAAGGTCAGGTGAACCATCTCGTCTTCCCATCCAAGCTTCCCTTTCTGGTGGCTTCAAGGTAGCCACCTTTAAGTTAAGAGGCATGAGCAAAACACAGAACATCATTCTAGACCAGACCTTCAGCTGTGGGTACTTGCTAGAATTCTACTGGCAAAGAAACCACAAGCCTGGGGACCTCCCTCAAAACTGCCCCAGGAGTAAGCAGGCTACAAAAGCTGTGCTGTCCTCAAGAAGTCTGCCCGTGTAGTCCTACCTTGGATGTGGCCATGGAGGTCCACAGACAAGGAGGTCAGGCAGCTACCCAAGGGACTTACTGGCCTGCCAGAAGCATCTTCACTTCTCTGTGTTTCCTATTCTTCCCTCTTATGAATGAGTTTTCAATGGCTGTTTTCCTGTTTCTACTTTACTGTTGACGGGGGGCGTTGGGAGATCACTTGTCTTGAGTTTATGGGTGATTAGACAGGAAGCCACCCAGAGATGATGGGGAAGCCCACAGATCACCCAAAGGTGATCTTAGGTTGAACTTCATGCCACAAGTGGCTGGGGCTTGGGTTGTCTACCTTGGAGAGAGGAGGAACGGGCTCTATGTGAGGGGTAAGAAAGGTGAGCAAAGGGTTGAGCGATGGCAGGGATCATTAATTATCCCGCAAACCCGTTCTTTCCTTCTCAGAAACAGAACTCCTGAATTTTTAGGCACATGGTTTCTTGGAATAAAAACCTTTCCTAGACTCCCTTGCAGTAGGTGTAGCCCTGCCCCTAAGTTCTGTTCAATGGGATGCACAACAACCAGATGGCACACCCTGAGGGAAGGGGTTTTGCTTTCTCCTTTCCCTCTCCTCTATCCTGTTGGCTGGAGCCATCTTCATGGACCTCAGTGTTAAAGCTGCATACTGGGGTTGGCAGAGAACCAAGCTGGAAGGAACCTGGGTTCTGGGGATCACAGAGCCACCCTGGCAGCCCTGGGTGATAGAAAGTACTGAAACTTCTTTGCGTAAGCTGCTGTTGTCATGACAGCTGAACCCAATTCAAATTTAGAATTAGCCACACAAGGTCAAGACAGAAGCAGGTACTCTGCACGGCCATGCTCCTGACCAGAGGGAAGGTAGGGATGGGCAGAGAGCACGCTCCTCCAAGAGAGTTAATATTTACTAAAAAGCAAACAAACAAACAGAACACAAGCATAATAAAACCCTTTCAGAAATCAAGACGATGATTAGAATAAAAAAAATCTCGACACACAGTGTTGCATAGCTTGAATGTTTTTATATTGATCAAACTTTTTCAGTAGCGTCGCTGACAGGTCAGAATGAAAAACATCTCGAATTTACAGAAAAAAAAATATTGCTCATTAAGATACTTTTCGAAACTACATAACACCGATCTTTTCATTGCTGCAAACAGAATGTGGGTTACAAAGATGGCGGACAGTCAGCCATCAGACTCCTCAGAGGCAGGCTGAGGTCAGTCTTTGCCATCTTTACGATTCTGATCTCAGCGCAGAAGGGCAAGAACTGGACAGTGGCAATCCTTGTCTTGGCATTCAACCCCGCCAAGGTTAGGGACAATCTCTTAGAGACAAGTCATGGAAATGTGACACATTTCTCTCCAGGAGTTATATGGCTTTGATTTAGGGCTAATTTCCATTCTCTGCAATACAGACTCCCAGAATGGTAAACGTTGAAAGAACCAAAGAACTCATTTAGTGCAGCCCAAATTCCTCTTTTTTACACATAAGGAAATTGAGGCCCGAGTCACCCAAGTCACCCAAGTCTAGGTCTAGATGCGAATGAGCCTTCCCTATTGAGGCCACCTCTTTGTTGCCTCTGAAGGATGAAAAGGGCTGTTGATTTCACTCAAATGATAATTTCTTTTTCTTTCTTTCTTTCTTTCTTTCTTTCTTTCTTTCTTTCTTTCTTTCGCACTCAAATGGTAATTTCTGAGGAACAACAACAACAAAAATATCAGGTAGCAACACAAAAGAAACAGCATCTACACTAATCTAAATAAAAGCATTTTTAGTGTTAACTATCTGGAATTAAAATAAAAAACTTAATCAAAAACATTTTTAAATATAAATTACTGTGGTAGGAATTATGGACCAGCACATGTTGGTGATATAACACCCCCCATCCTGACCTCCCCTAGCCAAATCGAGTTCAATGCCCCCCCCCCCCCCCCCCACCGCCGGAAGTCAAAACACCAAGTGTAGGTGCTATAGAGTGACACGGGAGGGATGTCCCATCCTAAGTCAGCACATGAGTGGATCTGATCAGATCTTCCAGAGAACAAAACACAAATGTAAAATGTCCTCTCTGTTCACATCCAGCCAAATTTCCTAGGCAAAATATTTCCCATGATTTTGATGCTTCCCACTTAGGACCAAAAAAGGCTTCAGTGTAATTGTTTAAATATGTAAAGTATTGCAGCAGGAATGCTGAGGTACAGAATTTAATTGGTTGTATCTATAGTAATTTTTACTCGTATATTTTGCCCCTTTAGATAATTCTCTTGTCCTGTTCTTCCCCAGTATTTCATAAATTCTGTTCCGAGTAACATCTGCTGGGTCTGAACTTATGGCCTGCACGGTGGCAGAAAAAGGCTAGTTGCAACCTCTGGTAAACTTTTTTGAAATTTATGTACAGTAATGACAGCCTTCCTGCAACTATATTAAATAATTTGCTTAAAAGAAGTAAAACACAACTCTCCAAACACATTTAGACTCCTCAAGCTTCTTGCACACAGGGGGATGATGCATTTGTATCAAATGGCAATGATTTGCTAAACATCCTGATGGCATTTAAATTTAGCTCAGCTTTCCACCTTCCCCTCTTTTTTGGGACTTAACTGGTAGAATTTTTTCTGAGTCCAGATTGAAAGAAGGCACTGGTATGAGGATATTCCTTTGTGCTTTTGTTCTCAGCCCAAGAAACGTTCTCTTAGAAAAATCCATACAATTCCACTTCTATTTCATGGGTTTTGGGGCTAATCACTGGTAAGTTAACTCTTCCAAGTAATGCATCTGCAGCAGTGTCAGATGGATTCCAGCTGATGAAAACTCACGCTGATAGCGTTTTATTCAATCCTCGTGTTCAACCCATAGCCTCAGCATTATTTCTCCTATTTTACAGGACGCTGTAATTACAGGAAATAGAGGAAAGAGAGGTAGCACTCTTAAGTGAGCAGGCCAAGAGCTAGTTGTTGATGAGTGGGACCGGGAACCAAATCTCCAACTGCATAATTCCAACCTCTCCTGATTCATTCTGCTGGCTTAGCATGAATCTGACAAGGATCGGGCTTAGGTGGTCTCCTGTTTCACAGTAGCGGGTGATGGCACCGTGTGACGCCTCCCTCCCACCCCTGCCGTTCGGCAGTAAAATATTGGTGGGGGAAAGAGGGAAGTATGCAATTAAATATGCTAAGTCTGGAGATAAAGAACCTTTAGAAACCCGGCTCCCATCATATGGGTCTTTATCCCTCTCGCATCCAGGAAACTACTCAATTGGTCCAGAGTTTGTTAAACATCAAAATGGCTTCACTTCTGTGCACTATGATATGAAAGCATCCTTTTTCTGTAAATCCCATTAAGAAACTGGCTTAGCTTCCTTGTCCTCCAGGGTACATAAAAACTGCTATTTAAAAATACCACATTAAAATTTTTACGTAATTTATTTTCCTTAAATAATAATTTGCTACAATCCTGTCACAAATTTTTAAAAAATTTAACACAGTATGAACAAAGGCAGAATTCTTTAGGACAATCAAAATCAGGGTGAACTTAGAATAAATTAACATCAAATTGTGTTTATATTCAGATAGCCTGATCCTCTCCTTTGAAATGAAATGGAGACCATTGTAACTGAGGGTGAATGCACACATTTGTTCTTCTATACAGAGACTCATTCTTTATATAAACTCAACTGTAATTTGAATCAAGTTAGGAGTCCTGAGAAACACTTACCATGGGCGCGCACACACACACATCCACACACATCCACGGACAACCCTCTAGAAGCTGGGTTTCCCATGGTTCCATGACTAGATCTTTCCTCAGCAGGGCCAACGATTCTGAACATTTAGATGATATCCCATCTCCCCTCAGGAAAATCGTAATGTTTCAAGTGTAACATAGCTTGAAGTAGCAGCAATCCATGTAGTAGATTCAGTAGTCGATAATTCCAGTCTCGGGTTCTGCATGTACAGCAAGAGGCAAGCAGAGGCGAAGAGCACTTCCTCCTAAAACTAACACACGGACGACAGGATGCAGCGGGAGTCCTCATGTTCAGAGTCTCCACTGAAAACTCAACCGAAGCTGCATGACTAATCCGGTCCAGGCACCGCGTGAGCACCTGAATAGGGTCAGTAATGCAGGAAGGAAGCGGGGCATCTTAGACAGGATTCTCAGAAACATGAATATGGGACGTGGCAGGGAGATGGGACAGAGGAAGGGAGGCCAGAAAAGGTACTGCCCGCTCCTTCAGCCTGAAATCCCACCACCCTGCCATTTAGTACATTCATCAGGGTTTCCTTAGCAGGGGGCAGGTGAATGCTAACGGTTCCAGCTCCGTCTAGACGGACAGAAAGCTCAGCCCTTAGAGTCCGATAAACATATACACACAAAACATCCAAGCAACTCTAAATAGCCACACCATCTTGTTTCTGGGCGGTCAAGAGCATTGCTGGCGTCCCCTCTCAATTGCCCAAGGATGGTTTACAGGAACACAGTGATGTCTAGGGAGGAAGGCAATAGGACAGGCCCCAAACTGAGATCCGCATTTGCTTACTTCTCTCTGAGGAATAACGGGCCTAACTGACGCTGCGACCGCATGCGTATCTACACTGTTCCTATGTACACGATACCTCTTCTATAGAACTTTAAAGTGCCTGGGTTCAAATGTGCTCATTCCTTCCCCACAGCCTACAAATTCCTCTTGCTGCTTCCAAAGAGAAGGTCTGTCCTTAAGGAGGATGCCTCTGGGAAAGAGGAATGAACATTTCACAGTTGTCTTAACTGGGATCCAGCATTTGGACTAAGCCTTCTTCATAAACACGAAGAATCGCTTCACATACAAACTTGTACTGGCTCTGGAAGAGAAAAGAAAGGTGTCAGTCCAGCCACGGTTCCATAAACTCTGCCTCCTACCACATCTCTGCGTACTCTTTTTTTTTTTTTTTTTTTAATTTTTTTTTTTCAACGTTTATTTATTTTTGGGACAGAGAGAGATAGAGCATGAACGGGGGAGGGGCAGAGAGAGAGGGAGACACAGAATCGGAAACAGGCTCCAGGCTCTGAGCCATCAGCCCAGAGCCCGACGCGGGGCTCGAACTCACGGACCGCGAGATCGTGACCTGGCTGAAGTCGGACGCTTAACCGACTGCGCCACCCAGGCGCCCCTCTGCGTACTCTTTTACGTTGCTCATAAATACTCTCTGACCTCCAGCTCCGGGCCAGGCCAGACCCTGTGCTACGTGCCAGGGAAACACCGTGAAGGCACACCCGTGAAGCCATGATTCCTATGTGAGGGCTGGGGGCTGCTCCCAGAGAGCGGTGGGGGGAGTGTCATGGAAACCACAGCAGAGGGAGGGGCCGGTGGTCTGGAGGAGCCAGGGAAGGGGTGAAGTCACTGCGGGGTGGCCATTCTACTGTACAGTACACTCAAGTGTGGAGACTCCGATGGCCCATTCTGAGTGGCACTGTCGGGCTCGGAGCCCCTGCCTGGAACACCTGGGCACGGACGGAGAGGCTGCACTGGTGACTGGGACCTGGTTGTGCAGGGTAAGGTGAGGGAGTCTTGATTTTGTCTTAAAAAAAAAAAAAGGAGAGCCACTAAAGCTGCTCTGTGGGATACGGCCCTTTATATTAAGAAACGCCCGAGAAACTCATTTAGTGAAGTGTGCGGGGTGAAAGAAAGCATTGAGACTGTGCTTCTTCACCAGCTAGGCAAATCTACCAAGAAGATGCACTGTCAAAATTTTTAACCGGCAGTGAGGTCTTCCATACCACGCAGCGGAGCAGAGAACAATATTCTTAATAACCCGGTTTTCTCCCTCTTAATTGTATTTCCTGAGTCTAATATAAAACAAGAGGTCCCGATCATTAGAGAAATCTCATAAACTCTGTCCCTGAGCCTTTGAGGACACGGAGCTGGCTGCATGGTGGACTTACCACTCTTTTCTTTGCTGATGCCGCCTCATTCATCTGGGGGGGGGTTTTGCCTTAGAGGCCACTCTTCCAGAAAGCCTTCCTTGACTTTTCTTTTTTAAAAAATTTTTTTTTTCAATGTTTATTTATTTTTTTGGGACAGAGAGAGACAGAGCATGAACGGGGGAGGGGCAGAGAGAGAGGGAGACACAGAATCGGAAACAGGCTCCAGGCTCCGAGCCATCAGCCCAGAGCCCGACGCGGGGCTCGAACTCACGGACCGCGAGATCGTGACCTGGCTGAAGTCGGACGCTCAACCGACTGCGCCACCCAGGCGCCCCTTCCTTGACTTTTCAAAGTCAGCTTTGATGGTCTTCCAGCGAGTTCTTACCCTTGGACTTCCCTCATTACTGCTGAGATTTATAACTAATTCAGTCTTCCTACTACATACAAGTTTGGGTCTCTTCGGTGTGTGCAATTACCTAAATGAATGTGGGATGGTCCCCATTTTGCAGATGGGGAAATGGAGGCTTGGAGAGAAGCTAAGTGATTATCTAAGGTCACCCAGTATGTGGAGGGGCCTGAATCATGCTCATTTTTCTACATCACCCGCCCGGCCCCTCTTGTGGTTCTAGGGAAAAACCACAGGATTCCTCTTGAGGACACTTGCAGTGCCACTTACCCAGACGTGGCAGACATGGGAGATAGCCCAAGAGGAGAGAGTAGGGCCATGTGAAACGTCCACTGAGCCAAAAGGCTCACCTGTACACGGACAGGTGGAGTAAAACCCTCAGGTGGCTCTGTTTGCTTCTGAGGGACAAATGATGGGCCAGCGGCTTGACCATGTAGAATGCAACCTGGGCTGCTCCCTGGCCACGTGGCTGGCTGGAAACACAGCACAGACGCAGTGAAAGGGATGGACAGTGAGAGACAGAGGTCAGATGGGGCGGGCTTTGGAGTCGCTCAGCCCCTGACAAGGTTTGTGACCTTGGGCAAGCACTGCAGTGCCCCTGAGCCTTGGTCTCTTAACCTGCAAAGCCCTTCACACAGGCCTGGCCCAGGGCAAGTGCTCAGAAAGCGTGGGCCATCGTTATGACTTTTATCAATGGATTTCTACTCACTGATGTCTGCACCATCATGGCACGCTGGTCTCGCATTTTCCGGACGATGTCCAGTGGGTAAACGGGCAGGTTTCTCTCAGTTAGGCACATGGCTGTTTCCATGGTGACCAACACGCCAGTACGACCTATGCCAGCACTGGGGGGACAGAAGCAGAGACCTGGGATTTGCTCAGGCAGTATTTCTGCACGGCCCAGCTTAATGCCTAGCCAGTTCCCACGTTTACTCAGACAGAGCTCTCCTCCCCTGACCTTCGGGAATACAAAACACACATTCAGGCTGTGCTCTCCAACAGGCTGAAAAGGCCTCTCCTCATATATTCTGAGGCCGGGGCTTAAACACCGATGAAAAGAAACCCACCTTTAAGGGCTGCACCCTCCTCTTGTTCACATCTATTGTGAAGGTCAGCAACTCAAGGACACAGGGAGAGCGGGGGGGTGGGGGGGAGTGGGCTTCTTCAGTTCTACAATCAGAGGTTTATGCTTTCATAAAATTCCCAATCTTTTGAAACAGCGAAGAAGAAATGAGCAGAGCCTTCTCGTAAAAGCATAGAGTCTCATGGGATTTAGGGTGATCTCTGCCAAGTTTCCTCAGGTCTTTCCCTACGGAATATGTGTATTTAAAAACCAAACCAAAGTAAACCTGGAAGCCACAGTACCTGCAGTGAACTAACACCGGTTCACCATCCACTCTCAGGGACCTCACGTAGTTTACAAATTCCAGAAAGTCCGAGGAGTCATCAGGAACGCCGTGGTCAGGCCACGCAACATACTGGAGATGTGTCACAGTGTGCTCTTCCCCGGTCTGTGGAAGATGCAGGGTGGCCTCGGTGAGCCAAGCCAGCAAGTGGGCAGCTTGAGTCTGGCCCCAGCCTCAGCCTCAGCTCAGCGGTCCTGTCTCCTGACGCCCTTTCGCCCGCTGCGCGCAGCCCTGCGGTGGCCCCTGGAAACTCCTGCTCCCCCCTCCAGGACACAGCTCGGGCCACCCTGTCAGGACTGCTTCCTTCTGTCCACTGAGATTTCTTCCCACTCGCTCCTATGGTACTTGCCATCAGGGCCACACTCACTGGCTTTTTCTTTTTTCAAAAGGGTAAAATACATGTAACACGAAGTTTACCATTTTAACCAATAAGTGTATATAGTTCAGCGGCATTAAGTACATTCCCAGGGTTGTGCAACGATCACTGCTATTACCCGGATTTTTTCATCTTCCCAAGTGGAAACTCTGTACCCATGAAGCACTAACTCTTCATTCCCCCCGCCCCCAGCCCATCACCCCACCTCTTTCTGTCTGATGGTGACTAGCCCAGGGACTCTATACAGTCACATAATACATTCCTCTTGTGACTGGCTTACTTGACCTAGTATAAGGTCTTTCAAGGTTCAGCACTGCTATAACATGCATCAGAATTTCCCTCCTTTTAAAAGCTGAATAGCGCTCCACTCTGTAAATATACCACATCTTGTCTATCCATTTATCCGTCCCGGGGCACTTGGGCGTTCTCACTGCTGTCTAGTGTGAACAGTGGTGCTGTGAACAAGGGCGCTGGTTCTTTCACAAGCATTTACCCAAATGCTCACCGGGAGTGAACGGAGAACAGAGCTGGAAGCACTGCCCTGTGCAGGCCCCCAGCGGATCTGGTCTAGCACCTGCCTTGAAGCTGCACCCTCCCCCGGACCACTCACTGAAGGGACACCGCTCACCTCGGTGTTGGTGACCAGCATTTCTCGGAACACATAAGCAATGGTGCAGTCCTCTGACTGACAGCGGATGTGAAAGTTGCCGTGTTCCATGACGTCGGGAGGATCAGGCCAGTACTGGTGACATTTGGTCTGCAAGAAAACCCCTGGGTGTGAGCTAACCTCCGCTGTGGGGGTGGTGCACATGAGCCGTTACCTGGATGGACAGGTGGGCATCTGACCGGAGCCCTCTCACTCACACCAGGTACTCTGAGAGCTGCAAAGCCAATGTGCTCTGGGTCTGTTCCCTGTTCCCAAAGGAGCGTCCCCTCCTCTCCTGGAGAATAGGGTGGAGGTCAGCCTGCAAGGGCCGAGGCCACAGCTCTCAAGCCAGCCTGGAGCTGGAGCCCGGAGGACGAGTACAGAGCTCACCCTCTTCGTCACCAGGGTCCACTTGCTGGAAGAACAGGAGAGGCCTCAGACCCAGTGCCTTGACCTAGGAGCGGCCTCTCCCTCTCATCCTTTCCCATTCCCCATCAAGCCCGCTCCAGGCGCTCAGGCCCCTTCTCTGCTCTTCACGCCACCCCCCTTCCACCTCACCCTCCTTTCACCATCCCTCACCTACCCACATGAGTAGAAGGAAGGCCTCATGGCACAGAGGTTAAGAGCACACAGGTGGAAGTCAGAACTCCACTGGCCTCATTTTAGCTTCTGTTAGCCACGTGACTTTGAACCTGCTACCCAACCTCTCGGATTTGCAGTCTTTGCCTGACAGACAGGGACAGCACCTGCCTCCCAGACGGTGACAGAGGTCGGAGGGAATGGTGGGCAGTGCCAGGCTCACCATGGGGGCTCAGGTTACCATTGTGGTTATGGGGGCCCCACATCAACATGAAGAAGGGTGATCAGAGATTCCACCAAAATCCCAGGGAAAGAAGTTCCCAAACCGAGATGAACATCCCTTTACATTTGAGCAGTGTCCCCTAAGCCCTCAGATGACTCATGGAGCTGACATGACACACTCCTGGATGGCAGATGAGGAACCCTGGCCCCCGTGGGGTAAGCGACCTGCCCAAGGTCTCAGGGCTGCTGCGGCTTCCCTACAGGCTCAACGTCTCCCTTTTAATCCTCCCTTCCAAACCCTGAAGCCGTCTTAGCTCTTGGCTCTGGCTTCAAAGCAAAATTCAGGGCCATGCTATCCATCCCATCATAGTTCCATCAAATTCTGACTCACTCAAATTTTTTTTTTTCTCCAAGCCTAGAGTTGCAACATCTTACATAAAAATTATATTTGTGTACAGCTAAAAGGGGCTATAAACCAACAGATGCACGTAATTTGTCTGGAACAGCTTTTCTATTCTTATTTTCAAACGTCACATGGAGTATTTGAAATTAAAGTATGCTGTTGGGAAGCTGGAGTTAAGAATTTACTTGTAAACCTTAAATGTGGGTATTTTGGCTAGTGGCCATTTCCCAACTTCCATAGACATGAAGGGGCCCCTGTCCCCAGAAGCCGAGGCAGAGTCGACACCCACTGGCCTATACCTGCCTCATCCTCACCAGGTGTTGGGGAACATCATCAAAAAGACGTGACCACACTGGCCGGTGAGCTAGACCTGGGCACTCAGAGGCTCCACACGCCCTCCCCTGTCCTTGGAATGTGGGGTCTGCCTGCCTTTCCTGCTCCCAGGGGCTGCTCCAAGGACACAGCCTTAGGAGAGTAACATGGGGTTGAAAACACCTACATTGTATACATAACTGAGCCCACTTAGGGTCTCTTTATAAACTTTTTTTAAGTTTATTTATTTTGAGAGAGACAGAGAGAACGAGTGGGGGAGGGACAGATAGAGAGGGAGGGAGAATCCCACGCAGGCTCTGTACTGTCAGCACAGAGCCCGATGTGGGCTTGAACCCACTAACTATGAGATCATGGCCTGAGCCGAAACCAAGAATTGGACGCTTAATTGACTGAGCCACCCAGGTGCCCCTCTTTATAAACTTTTAAGATTTAGTGGAAAGGTACAGGGAACCATTTGTTTTGTGGTTATGACAAGCCTCGTAAGTTCCCTTTGCTTATTTTAAATGCCACCTATGGGGCACCTGGGTGGCTCAGTTGGTTGAGCATCTGACTTCGGCTCAGGTCATGATCTCATGGTCTGTGAGTTCGAGCCCCACATTGGGCTCTGTGCTGTCAGTTCAGAGCCTGGAGCCTGCTTCAGATTCTGTGTCTCCCTCTCTCTCTGCCCCTCCCCTGCTCATGCTCTGTCTCTCTCTCTGTCAAAAATAAATAAACATTAAAAAAATTAAAATAAAATAAAATAAAATGCCACCTAATCTCAGTTGGTTAAGCGTCCGACTCTTGGTTTCAGCTCAGGTCATGATCTCATGGTTCATGAGTTTGAGCCTGCTTGGGATTCTCTCTTCCCCTCTCTCTCTGCCCTTCCCCTGCTATGTTCTCTCTCTCAAAATCAATAAACTTAACAACAACAACAACAACAACAAAAAGCCACCCCAAACTGCCACCTACCAACCTAGAGTAGCATGCGTCTTCCTTTAGTCTCTCCCGGTCCCCTGCATATGGGGGCCAGCTTCATATTATACCTGGGTAGCCTGCCCGGGCAGGCTGCAGACCCACACAGGGTGTCAATTTCTGCTACAGACTCTCAAGCATCCTACTCACAGGACAACGGATGGGAAGGGTCTCTGAAGTGATCAGCCCGTATAAGGCAGAGCTACAAACACCTGTTTCCAGAGATTCCCAGCGAATTCACCAGAACTGGACATTCTACTTCTTGATCAAATTTGGATTTTAGGTCTATTTGGATCTCAAAGCACTAAGGGTGTAGTAGAAAGAGCAAGGGGTCTGTGGAAACCCTGAGTTTCAATCCTGGTTAATAATGCGCTCCACTAACCAAGTGTGTGATCCTGGGCAAGTTACTAGACTTCCTTCAGTCTCTGTTTCCACATTGATGCTGGCTATGGGGGGGAGGATGCTAACGCCTACTATCTACTGAACAGTGTGTGCCTAGTTCTCAATGGTACTTTTTATGGACATTAGCTTGACCTCAAAAAACCCTATGAGGTAGATACTATTAGTGTCTCTGTTTCGCATACGAGTAAACTGAGGCTTTGGGGGTGAATCAACTGGTATGAGATCATCCATATCAGAAGTGGCACATACACAGGGAGAAGCTGTGGGTGGTGGTGAGGACCAGATAAGGATCCTCAAGATAAAGGGCTCGGGTCAGCTGAGAGTTTGTAACAGGAGAGGGAGGAAACATGTAGCCTGGATTTCAGAAGAACAGGTTTCTAACAATTGATAAACAAGAGGGGTAAGTCCCCAGGGCCAGAGACAGTGAAGGGACTGCTGACTCAGGACAAGGGGCCTGCTGGGCTGGGCTTAGTCAGGAAGACAGGCTGGGAAACAGAGAAGCCCCCTGGGCCACAGGGAGACCTCAGAGGAGCTCAGGTGCAGAGTAGATGAATAAGAGGGGGGTGGGTGGAACGCAATCAGGACAGAGCAGGAGGGGCAGGACCTGTAAGAACAGCCAGAGGAAGTAAGGCCTATCGGAAGGAAGAAAGGGCCCTTCTTTCCGAGCTGGAACAAATAGGACAAGGGAAGAAGGGGCTCCTGTCCAGAGCAGATCATCTGTCGCTAGCCATGCCTGTTGCGGCTCACTAATGACCTCAGAGCGGGAAAGGGCAGAGTCAACTTTACAGCAGAAAGAGAAGCCCAATCCAGGTGAGGAGACCACGCCCCATGGCCCTGAAAGACCTTACGACCCAACAGAATGGCACCTCCACGAATATTTTGAGAGAACCTGGAGCATTCAAGCACCCAGACGTCACAGAATAGGCAGACAAACATAGCTCAGTTTTCAAATGGGGGGACTGGCAGATTGTGGAGACAGGGAGGCAATAAAGTTGACATTAGTCATCTACAAAATAGCAGAAATGGCCCAGAACAGGGCCTACAGTGTGGGGTGAGGTGGTGGAATCAGAGGATTAAATAACAGAACTGCATGGCGGTAAAGCAAACTTTGCCACGGATGGTCTCAACTTGGGTTGAGGATGGCTTCAACATCACTCCCCTAATACTTTAACTCTCTTTTTATGAGAGAGAGAGAAAGAGTGTGTGTGTGCACATATTTGCAAGTGCCGGCTTTGGGTTCTGAGCCTAGAAGGCAAGAGTATTTACTTAGAACTTAATAACACAAGTCTGACATTATTTTTAGATCCCTAAAGAGCCAAGTGCATAGAGGAGAGGGGTAACTTATTCTGTGTCTTCCAGGTGGGAGAAACAGGTGGGGTGGAGGTTCAAGGCCACGTGGATTTCAGCTAGTTGTAAGGAGTAATTTTTTAAAAATCAGGGCTGAACACTAACAAGATGGACCTTGGAGGTGCTTTTGCAGAAGTGGGGAGCCCTCTGCCTGGGAGACACACACACAAGTCCTTTGCAATCCCTGGGGCTATCTCTGCAGAATTAGTAGGAATTCTTATTTTGCTGTTTCAGGTTGAGAGTATAGACTGTTCTCAAACATACTATTCATTCCAATCCTGTGTATTCTGATTTTCGGTGTGGATCAATTTGGTATTCTGAACCATGTATCAAGGAGAGAGGCCTGGGAGGAAGCAGCACACAGATCATTCAAAGCAGGTGGCTCAAAGTTAATTTATATCTGATTTTGGAATGGGTTTCTGAATAAATGTTTCATAATGAAGATATCTCGATGTATGCACAAGTTAGAGAATGTATAATACAGGTACCCCTTGCACAGTGACTACTGTTATATAACCAGTGATCTGTTCCTATGGAAAATGCATGCCCTGCTAAAGCACAGTGTGGTGCCCATCACTCTCCTAATCAAGCCCTTCTTTCTTCTTTTTGCATCGGCTTTTGCTGCAACGCAAACAGAGGCTGACAGAAGTTGTAATGCCTCCCACTTGTTATGGCCACTGTGAGCCTAGCACCCACACTGCTCTTCGCAGGACCAGCCCTTGTCCTGGGTGGGTGAGGCTGCAGTCAACACACGGGTTCTGGGGCAGGGGAGGTGAGGCAAAGGAGACTGCCTTCTGGCTAATTATAATGGATCTGAGCCAGGAGTGGGAGGGGCTGTGTGAGCTCAGAGAAAGGCCAGGGAATGGACAGGAGTGCTGAGCTCCCCGACACTGGAGGTGACTATCAGTAAGTCTCTAAAGGAGATTTATGGGTCATGTAGGGGCTGGACCAAGTGATATTTAAGACCCTTTCCAGGTCTGAGATTCATGTTGCATAGAGCACGGCGTGACACGCCCACGTTTGAATCAGAAATCAAGCCACTTACCCGCCCTCGCTCTGTGAGAGTCGTCAACATGACAATGAGTGATAACTTCTGATCCCAGACGACTTGCCAAAATTGTGCACAGGTATGTGGCAGGGGCCCCTGAGCGGCGATGTACTTGTTCACAAGGTTAGCAGCAGGAATTTCCATCTGGCAAGAGATTGTTAAGACATTAGAATCTGTCACTGCCACAAGGTGGCCACGGAAATGGATCTTACACTCTTCTAGTTGGTAACGGACATCACACCAGAATATTCTGTCAATGTACAGCCAATAAGAAAAATCAAAGAAAAAGCCATTTTTAAAAATCCTTTAAAGATACTTGACAATAATACTAGCATTAACTACTTAAGATAAAGCTATGTGACACTCAGTAGGCAATAATCAGAAATGTACCTACAAGACGGCAGAAGAGTTTGGATGATCTTTACTGCTATATCGAAATTGGCCATCTGCATTTTCAGCCATTCATACCAGTCTTCATGCCCAAATCTTTCCCCACACAGGGCTTTCTATCAAAATCTACTTGCTTTTCTTTGAAGCATAGACCATACAGCCTTATACCACCACTATGCTGCACTTTGCTTTCTGCAGGGTTCCAATGCCCGTGTCATCGAGTTGATCAATCCTTCCCCCCACCCAGCTTTATTGAAGTGTAACTGACAAATAAAAATTGCATATTATTTAAGGTATACAACATGATGGTTTGATGTATGCATATATTGTGAAATAATCACCACAATCAAGTTAATGATCACATCCATCACCTCACACAGTTATTTGAGTTGATTAATGTTAAACATCAAAATGTTTTCAACTGTCCTCAGTATCCCTCCTCCCATCCTGCTCTGCTTTTACTTCTTCCCTCTGAACAGAGTCATTTCTATGAAAAAACAGTCAGAACCTGCTGAACTTTCAAGTGACACTGTGATTCATTCATTCTTAGGTAGGGTACACAGAGGCACTCAATTCATGGTTTGGTTGATGTTTGGGTTAATGGCTTCTTCAACCCTGGTCTCAGTTCCCCAATTTCCCTGTAAAGACACCAGATTACGTGATCCTGCTGACCTCACCAAATCTGATGCTCTGCTTTCAAGGCATCAGGAATGTTGAAGTGAGGGTCAATGAATTCCATAGATGTTTTGGGATAAATGGAATCACTGATAACACCCATCTTTATTAGGGTAGTTTTTGATATTTTGCTATAACTTGAGAACTTGAGAAATCATCTGTTCATGTAGGTCAAGGGTTGGCAAACTTTGGCCCGAGGGCCAAATCTGACTGTCACTTTGCAAGCTAAGAGTGTTTTAAAAATATTTTTACATGGTTGCATTTTAAATGGTTATATAACTACTTAAGTAATAGCCTCCATTTTTCCTCAGCTTGCAAAGACTGAAATATTATCTGGTCCTCTACAGAAAAAGTGTGCTGACCCCTGGTTTAAATGAAGAAAATGAGGTTCAGAGAGGCCAAGTAAGTTGCCCAAGATTCATTTTCAGGGTCGAATGAATGCTTTTCCCACAGCATGTGAAATTTTTTATGTTTTCTTTTTGGGTTACACGCACAAGTGGTTTTTTTCTCCCTTATTTTTAGGTGGGATGTACAGTAATAACATGGCGGGGGGGAGGGAAACACAGAAAGTTACAAGCGCACGACCGGCAAACAAAAAAACCCCCAAAACCAAAAAAAAAACAAAAAAAAAAAAAAAAACCCTACAAAAAAACCTCAAACAACAACAACAAAAAAACCCCACAAAAATGTCAGCAGTTCAAGACAGAAGGCATGTGGACGATGGGAGTCAGAGACACAGAATCTGAGTTTTGGTCTCACCTTCTGTTAGCTTTGTGACTTTTCAAATTATTTAATCTCTCTGAACCTTAGTTTTGTCCTCTGTAAAAAGACTATTCTGCCTTCCCTCAATGGCTGCTGGGGTGCTGAAATGAGGGGGTGAACAGGAGAGCATTTGGTCAACTGCAAAGCACCACCCATACCATTCATGCTTGTTACAGTGATCAGTGGGCTCTTATTATCCAGATTCTTGACTTACGTTCACATAACTCGCATTAATATAATCTTCATTTCCCTGCAATAATACCCGGGTGGTGTCATCTGTGGGGGAGAAACAAATTTACCAATTATCCTGAGCATTATTTTTATCGGACCAAGGAAACAAGAGTTCAGTCCCCAACCCCATCCACAGCTTTGCCTCATTAGCATAAACACTATTCCCCAACTGTTCAGAGTCGAAATGGCGGCAGTAAAAATGGTGGTGTTTACAGACACACTGAAAATCGTTCCAGAATACCAGACAATCTGTGTTAAAAAGGGAAACATTATCTCAGCGTGTTGGGGGTGGGGGGTGGGGGAGAGAAGGAAGCATTCACACCGGGTACTCACAAGGCAGCACATCTTTATATCGGTTTTTGTCCAAATTTTGAGGCAGCTTTGCAAACGTGATGGCCAGACCGGGCTTCTTTCTATAGAGTTGCTACATAACAAATACAGAAGTGGGGGAGAAAAAAACAAACAAACAAAAAAACCAACCTTGCAAAAAACAGCTATGGAGGGAGCATGGAAACATACTTTTAACAATAAAGTCTACCACTTGTGGCACTAAATCTTAACATTTAAAAGTGATTAGGTGCTATATTTTAAAAGAAAACTCTTCCCAATAAGAAATTCTACAATCCCATGAGAAACTGACTAAACTCACTAATTTTTTTTTTTTAACATGAGGATCTTTGGGGGGAAAAAAAAGTCACAGGAAGGGGTCTGAGTCATAGATAATGGATCATGGTAAGTAAAATCTTGTCTTTTTGACAGTTATTTGACAAATGATAAAAGCAAGTCGAGAAAGAAAAGAATTCTGACTCAAAGTTCAATGGAAACCATTTATATTAGTCTAAAAACATTTCTCTCCAGTTCAATGGAGTGAACCGGGTTCTTAGCTGAAGAACAAGAGCATTTCATTCATCTTCTCAGAAGTATGTTTGCACAGTAAAAACATTTCTTCCAATACGTAGTAAACTTCATTTAAGAGGTATCTTTGCTGTACAATATAATAACTAGCAAAAAATCCAATTAAGCCATCTTTGCACACCTATAAGCCCCTATTACATGTTTGTGCAGTGCCTGATGTGATTCTGACAACGGTTGTGTGAGAGGTACTAAGAGGACCCTTCTTTTGCAAGCAAGGAGGAGAGATTAAATACCTTGGCTCACAATCACCAACGGGAGGCTGAATTCAGATCTGACTCAATGCTAGAGTTTTCTCTTCCTTTGAGAACACTCCACTGAGGTATGACTGTCATGTAAAAAGTGGTACATATTTAATGTACACAACTTGATGAGTCCGGGGATAAGTATACACCGGGGAAACCCCACGAAGACCACAGACACATCCATTCCTTCCCAGTTTCCTCCTGCCCTAGAGTTTTTTCATACAACTGTTTCTCACACTTTGAGCTAGAGAGTGAAATACTAGTCACTGTGGTTTTATGAAAGTTTACAAACAATACAACTTTTTCTCAATGTTGGAAGCAACCTTTTCTTCCCTTAGGATATCTGGGAAATTCAGACTAGTATAAAGAAAAAAAATTATCAGTAATTTCACAAACCCAAGGGAACCCTTTTCACATTTTTTTCTCCAGTTTTCTATGTATACAAATAAACATAAGTACACATATAAACAGAGAAGACACAGATGTACATTTTTAAAAACAAAAAATAAGACTGAATTACAAATTAGCATTTCCTATATTATGTTCTATGGAACCCAGTGTTTTGAAAGATACTAATAGGTATTCCTTAGAATGTTTCAAGGTCAGGGGCACGTGGGTGCCTCAGTCACTTAAGCATCTGACTTCAGCTCAAGTCATGATCTCATAGTTCGCGAGTTCAAGCCCCGTGTCAGGCTCTGAGCTCAGAGCCTGGAGCCTACTTCGGATTCTGTGTCTCCCTCTCTCTCTGCCCTTCCCCTCGTGCTCTCTCTCTCTCTCCCTCTCAAAAATAAGTAAACATTAAAAAGTTTCAAGGTCAGAGAAATTTGGAAAATATAAGCCATCGTATGTTCTATGAATCTCCAAGAAGCTCAACCCTGCAGTACTTAAGCTTATTTAATTCTGATTAGCTAAGCATTTCTCAAGCTAATTTGGCCATGGAGGACCTCACATCCCATAAAAGTATTATGGGAAATACTACCATAATTTCGAAGCCTGAAGCCTGTTTTTTCCTTATTATAGAGTGTCTAGGTCCTTGTGCCATTAATTATTCTAAATATTCTCTACATAAAATGATTTTTACTGGATCATAGTTTCTCATAACTTAACTTTTACTCTACTTTCGATTAGGGGGTTTTCAATGTTTTTACTCATAAACTTTTAGAAGAATTAGTATATCAAAACATATTTTTATGGATTTTGATACATACAATCAAGTTGCCCTACAGGTGTGTATGAGAATTGCTAATCCACTAAATTGCGGCCAAATCATCAACTAAAAGGTGTTTGCAATTTGAATAAGAAGGCTGGACAGTAGTTTCCCCCCAATATTTTTGCAACTTGTATTTTTTGTTGTGTAAATTGGCCTCTGTGAATCTGTTTTCCTCTTATTGGTTCTTTTTTTTTTTTTTTTAAGTCTATTTATTTATTTTGGGAGAGAGAGAGAGAGTGCAAGTGGGAGAGGGGTGGAGAGAGAAAGACTGAGACATCAGCCCAGACTTTGATATGGGGCTCGAACCTATGAACTGTGAAATCATGACCTGAGCCAAAGTTGGATGTTTAACCGATTGGGCTAACCAGGCACCCCTCTTTTTTTCTTTTTAATTAAATAAACAAACTGCATAGCAATCATTAGGAGAAAATGAGCATCAAGATTTTTGGCAACAACAATTGTGTCATGTCTTAGATGTTTACCAAATGTTTAGAATTTGCAATCTCTCCTCCAGCTCAGCTACTGATCTTCACAATTTCAGTTTGTAACAAAAAGCCCCTGAATTTTTTTTTTTTTTTTTTTTTTTTTTTTGAGAGAGCCTGAGAGTTCACCCATGTGCTTGAGCGAAGGAGGGGCAGCAGAACAGAAGGGGTGAGAGAGAAGGAGAGGAAGAGAAAGAGAGACTATCTTAAGCAGGCTCCACGCAGTACTTGATCTCAGGACTGTGGCATCATGACCTGTGCCAAAGTCAAGAGTCAGCCACTCAGCCCACTGAGCCACCCAGGTGCCCTACCAGTGAACAACTTCTTAAAGGTCTGACAGCTTTAATGGACAGAGAGCATTCTAGAAATAAATTCAGGATTTACTGGAAGGTTTGGTTTGATACTGTAAGGAAAATATCTGAGTCAAATTTCCCCAAATGACATTTTGGTTCTGACTAACTGCATAGAGGTAAAATCCAATTAAGTGAATATAATCAGTAAAGCTAAGCCGGAGGTTCAAGGATTTTTTTTTTTTTTTTCCAAATAAAAGCATAAATGTAATCAACTTGAGATGGTCTACCAGAAAAGCACAGATCCAGCAAAAGGCTTTAATTACAATAAGTATATAAATGTATCTCAGCAGTAATGATCTGTTGATAAGCTTGTCAAGGTACTAAAATAAAAAATAAAATAGCAGTGTTTAAACATTTTTAAATGTGCACTCCCCAGGCTTTATCTGACAGAAATGCATAAAGATACATATCAAAGAAATTTATCTACAGCAAAGCATTTTTTTTTATTAGAAAACTGGAAACAGTCTGAACATTTACCAACAGGGAGAGGTATTGACTTAAATTATGGTACAGTCATACCACAAAATTATGTGCAATAAAAAGATTAAACTACAGGTTTGGGAAGATATTCATTCATCTATTCTGAAGAATGCAAGTTATAAGGGCACCTGGCTAGCTTAGTTAGTAGAGCAAGAGACTCTTGGTCTCAGGGTTGTGAGTTCAACCCCCATGTTGGGTGTAGAGAGCACTTTAAAATAAAATCTTGGGGCGCCTAGGTGGCTCAGTCAGTTAAGTGTCCAGCTTTCACTCAGGTCATGATCTCATGGTTCTTGAGTTCGAGCCCCACGTTGGGCTCTGTGCTGACAATTCACAGCCTGGAGCCTGTGTCAGATCCCGTGTCTTCCTCTCTCTCTGCCCCTTCCCCATTCGCATGCTCTCTCTCTCAAAAATAAACATTAAGAAAAATCTGTTTAAATCTTAAAAAAAAGTAATGCAAGTTACAGAATACAGTAGTGATCCCTTTTATATACAACAGCACACACACATGTGTATAATGTATATGTGTGTGCACTTGTGTATATAACACATCTCGGCATGAGCACTGGAACAAGTATGGAAGGACAGGCATCAGATTGTTATTTGTAAATAGTAACAAAGAGGAGGAAGCTAAAGAATATGGGAGTCAGGAGATAATTCTACTTTGGCTATTTCTAAATTACTTGAATTATTACAATGCAAATTATTTCTTAAATTCAAATGACTGAGAAAAAAACCAGAAGAAATGTACACATAAAATTAAATTCTACAAAAAGCTGGGTGAACAGGGATATGATTTTTGGGGCCTTTAGAAAGCACAACACACTCATATTCATGTCTGCCTTGCAAGGTGAGCACTGAGCCCTAATTCTGCTAAACTGCTTCAGTTCTAGTTTCTGAAGGTGTTAAGAGTTGGGTTTTTGGTTTCCTTTACTTTATTGACTTTTTCTCCAGATCTTGTGAGCTACTCAGCAGGCTATGACAACACTACTTGGAGAAGGGTGGTTCAGAGTAGAAAGTGAGATGCTGGAAACCCATGTAGATCTTTCTGGAAGGCTCATGGATGGAGGGAAAGGAATTAAAGACCATCAGCCGTAATTAAGACAAGGCTCTTTCAAGAACTACTCATTGTAAAAATATGCTTGGCTTTGGTTATTCCCAGGCTAAAGGTGTGTGAGGTGGGCAAGAGCTCCCAGTTACAGACCCTGGCAATTCTGCCCTAGAATGAGAGGGGCGGGGAGGCTGGAGAAAGAGTCCCAGGGGCAGATGGTTAGAAGATCACTTAGTTTTATTAAAAACTATTGATTTTTAAGTCCTAAAGTGCTTTGGTCTCATCAGAGTGTAGTTCTAAAAAGCTGTGAAACTTAGGGCTAAAAATTATAAAAAATCAGCTGAGAAAGGGTTATTCTGGAACAACTGTATTTAAATTAGTGCCTACATCACTGGCTCTAGCTTCCAAAGACAGAAAGTGGCACAGCAGAGGCTGGACCTCTCTAGTGCCATACCGCTGGGGTGGGTAAGATGACACAGTTTTCCCATTTAAACATTTCTTCTTCGAAAAAGTCTTCTAATGTTAGAGAGAGGGTATCAGGAGAGGACTCTGATCTCTTCAGACTTCTGGCCCAACCACAGATGTGAAATCTGGTCACAATCCTCAGATGAAGTGTTTGGACACTTAATGGGCTCTGACCCTGGTGGATGCTGGCAAGGCCCCACACAGGGGAAGCAAGCATTCTATCACCCAG